GGAAGCTGATAGACGGATAGCTAACTGCTAACCGCTAACAGCAACATGTTTCCTTAATGAACTGGATCTCAGTATCTGTTGAACTGGGTTCACTGGTTTATGAACATCTGGTCCAGTTTGGACTGGAGTGGCTGCTGTCCATGGTGCTGAACGATCACTTATCAATCAGATCATTAAATATTTAAAGATGTCATTTTTTTAGCTTTCAACCCATAAAACCTATAAAGCTTTCGAGTTTTCTGGAAAAAAAACCTATTTTGAATTAAACTGAGTTCCGTTTGCAGCGAGTTTCTCTGCCTCCAGTGTTTCCCCATCTGACTCTCTGCCGTGTTTCCCTCGTCTCTCCTACTGAAACCCAGAATCCTCCGAGTTCTCAGGCGAGTTGGACGGAGCTGCAGCAGTTAATGAGTTCAGTGGAGCCCGGAAGGTTCTGGAAGCTCTCCATGGGACGTTCCCGTAAACATCTCTGGTGACCTTTAACCCCCCGCCTGGGCCGGAGAAAAATCTGCCAGCTGAAACTCCTGCATGTGCCAAAGACAGACAAATTCTGCCACATTTTAACTTTTCATTTTCAGTCTGATGACGTGAAAAATAGTTTATTGGCTCATTGAATTAACAATGTTGATCTAATCTGATGTTTCTGTCACCAGATGCTTCAAACCAAAGGACTGAATAAACGGATCATCACTCAGCTCAGACCTGCAGACGGTGTGATGGTGAATTCAGGTCTGGATGAACGGCTCCGTCGGCACGGCAACCCTCAGCTGGCAGCATCAGATATGAATCATGGAGGAATGAGATGCTGCAGCTGAGCAGAGCGCCACAAACAGAACAGAGAGTCTGATGCTGTGACTGGACCCGGCTGGCGGTCTGACCTGATGGAGTTAACCAGTTGGAACCGGTTCCAGTTTGGGACCGGTTCCAGTTTGGGACCGGTTCCAGTGTCTGTCCATCAGGAAGCCTTCAGTCCAGAGGATCTGTGGTTCTGAGCTTCAGGCTGATCGTCTCTCAGCTTCTGGGACGAAACAGAGAAAATAAAAGCCGACGTTCCTAATACCTGTGACACAGTGTTAAAGTGACACACACACACACACACACACACACACACACACACACACACACACACACACACACACAGGCGCCCAGGGAAATGCAGCGACACACTCGCGGCGCGGCTGGCTGAGCAGCGTGTTGCTTGGCATTCTGAAATGTCAGAAGGAAAGTGTTCAGAGAAACAGCTGGGCACCTGGGAGATTCCATTTTATCAACATACAAATGAGCCGCGCTGAACTGGCTGCTGACAGAACGCTGAGCGCTGCTGAGATGAGAGGAAAACGGCGCCGACACTGGATGGTGGCGCTCTGTGTGCAGCCTGCAGGTGCTGCGCTGCTGCAGCATCCATCAGCCAGCAGCTCACCGGGTCAGACGCTGGAGCAGAAGAGATCAGGAAACTAGAAATGTCCTTAACGAGCAGCGAGTCCAACATGACTCACTGATGAAGATTCTGCTGACAGGAAACAAAAACTCAAAGACTGGAGGCTTAAAGGAACAGAACCGTCCAGGATCCAAACCCTCACAGAGGTCAGAGCTGCGGCCTCCTGTGGCCGGTTCTGGATCCTGGAGCAACCATCTGGCTCCTCCAGAGGAACCCCGGGTCTGGAGGGACTTCTGGATCTCCTCCCAGTTGGATCAACCTGGAAAAGCTCTGAAGAGAGGATGAGGAGGTTGAGACGAGGAAGAGCATCAGCTAATCTCCTCAGCTGCATCCATGGCCAGGCTGAACTTCGTCCAGGTCATTTCCTCCGTCTGAAACGACGCTGAGGTCCAACCGAAGATGAAACATCCAGGAGGCGTTCACATAAAACAGCATCAACATTCAAATGAAAACTGAGGGATTTTAGTTGCAGTTTGGTGTTTATACCGTCTGCAGATGGTGAGGATGAGGCAGACAGTAAGTTTCTCTTGAGAAGTTTGTAGAAATATAAACAGAGATGAATAAACTCCAGATCTGTGATGTTTTCACACCAAGACGGTTCTGGTCCAAAACCAAAATCTGATTTTATTTTTTCATTTGCAAAATTTTTTAACATCATGTTTTTTAAACCTTAAATAAAAGTCACACTGGTTTGACCTTTGCTCCCATTGGACAGACAGGAAGTGGGCGGGGCAGAAAGGCCATCTGTCTCCATGGCAACACCTCGACTGGTTCTTTCCTTCTGGACCAGCCGAGTCTTGGTTCTGGCAGCAGAACCAGAACCAGTTCCTGTACTGAGATGAAACTGGTCCCGGTTCAGCACTGGGACCAGTTTGGTGGAGCTCTGATCTGTCGTTGGGAACATCCTGAGCGTTTCTCCACAGGTGTGTGATTTATTCCTCGCTGCTCAGATATGAATCTGAGAGCCGCGTTGTTTGTGTGGCCTATTTATTTTCCCATCAATATGCAAAGTATGGCAGCTGCACATTAAGCTTCCCGACTCATTCAGCTGCAGAGATCAGCAGGAACGCAGAGAGGAGCTCCGCATCTTTCATCTTTAATCCTCCGTCTTTATGTATGAACGTGTTATGAGTGTGTTCGATCACAGGACGCCAGAAACACTTTCACCTGCAACCACCGTCAGCTGGGCTTCAATCAGAGACGGGAGCCCAGCTGGAGCCAGAGACCTACTGCTACAGAGTCTATTCTATTCAGTTCTATTCAGTTCTGGTTTGGTTTATAAGTAAAACAAACACATAGAAAATTAAATGAATGTAAAAGCGGGTGACAAATGACTTAAATAATACCAGCTTGTGAAAATGTGCCTTCAGGAAAATACATAAAATAAACAATTTCATAAAAAGGTGCTTAAATGTAAAAAATGTAAATACTACAGTTACTGCAGGACACGTTTCCAAACTGCTAGAGAGCTGCTGTTTAGTTTAGTTAGGTCTGACCTGGTCTGGTCTGGTCTGGTCTGGTCTGGTCTGGTCTGGTCTG